GAAAAAAAAAAAAAAGTCAGCGACATTCAGGCAAGCAAAGCTCTCTTTCAAACTGAGATAAAGAATATCCATGAACATAATGCAGGAATTTAACCCCATCTTGCCACAACCTCTGGCCACATCATACATCTTGGCCTGTTTTTCTAGCCTTGGGTCTTCAGCATACCAGATAGGATAACCTGGCAGCCCTGAGCAGTGTTCCCCTGCGGCCCTGCATCGGCTGCGTTCAAACTATCTGCCCCTTTCCGTCTCTGCCAGGCTTCGTGCAGTCTGTGTGAGTTTTTCTCCTATTCCTTTTAGATGAGCTGCTTCAGGAGCAACGAGCAGACATGGATCAGTTCACATCCTCCATTTCTGAATCCCAGGTGGATGTCAGAGTGAGCTCTGAGGAAAGTGAAGAAATTCCCCTAGAGGGCAAACCCTTCCGTCCGTTCCAGGTGAAAACCTTCCCAGCCTTGCCTGAAAATGAAGGTACGTGGAGCTGAAAACGTGGGTTGATTCACTTGTTTTAAAAACTGTAGTCACTTTTTCTTAGCCAGTAGCCCAGCTCTGTGGCATGGGATGCTCCGTCCCTTTGGGTCGTTTAGGAGCAAAACAGTTGCCTCGGCAGTACCCATCAGACAGACTGCCCGTTTCAAGGAGGTAGCGCTGCTAGTAATTTGGACAGTGCGGCTGTCCTGATTTCCTGATTTGTCTGTTTTCAAAATTCTTTTACCTCTTTCCATTTTGCAGAGAGTGTCTTTTTGTTTTGTTTGTTTGTTTTTTTACTGTGTGCCTTGATTCTGAAGTTCGTTTTCAGTCTTCAGCCAAAATGCTCTCGTGTAATGTTAAGCCTTTTGTGCCGTGACCTGCCGAAGGGCTACAGGAATTCCCTTTTTTTTTTTTTTTTTCCCCCTTCCCTCTAGTTGCTGAGGAAGAGCAGGCTCGATGCGAACAAGGGGCTCGCGGCGGGGGCGGGGGGCAGCATCAGGTTGCCTAAGCCTCGCTGAGTAAGGCCAAGTTGCAGTATGGTTTTCCATTGAACAAAGAAACGAAGTAACTCGTTGCTCGCGGGGTTTGCTATGCTGCGAGAACCTAGGATAGGAAGGAACGTTTGTAGAGAGATGCAAATCCAAAATTTTCATCAAGGACTAAAAAAAAATGTGCGGAATTCTAGTATTGTCTGCTAGGCCTTCACAGGGGCGGTCACGTTGAGTGAGGCTGAGGTACATGTGGCCTAGCGTATTGTTTGTGAGAGCAGCCAGCACTCGATGCTTAGCAGTAGCTGGGTGCTGCTGCTCGTTTTTAGCCCTGGTTACAGTGTTTAGTCAAAGCATTCCTAGTTTTGCAGGCAAATCTTGTAGGAAGATCACGGAGTCCGCAACACTTGCTTTTACTTTTTCTTTCCATTTGTAGTTTGGGGTCTGTAACTATCACTGAAATAGTGCTTTTCAGAAGCTTTTAATTGCTCTTCCAGATTTTTCCTAGTGCTGGAGGGTGTTGCGCTTGCAGGTTCATGACTCGGCGGGAATACTGTTTAATATGCCCACCCTATCTCCCTGGTCCTTTCACGAGCCCCCTCCATTAGTCATATACAGTACAGTCACAGAGATTTTAAAAACAGATTTACATAGGTTGAAGGAAAACCATCACCAACCTGGAATATCTCAAGTCTTTTAGAAACCTCCAACATTGTTCTGTGTTGCACTGCACAGCCGAAAAAAGACCAAGGAACCCGTGATACTAGTGCCTGGCATCTGTACAATGGCAAAAGCAACTCAAAGTCCGTTGAACATACTAAAGATTAAATAAATAGTAATAAAAAGGGGAGCTGGGGAAAATTTACCATCGTTTGACCAGTTCTGTAACCCTGAGATTATCCTGAAAGTGAGAATATCACAGGTTCCTTGATATTTGCAGAGGGCAAACAGCTCTTTCTCCTTTGATACTAGTTAGCGATGTGTGCAGAAAGATCTGGAATGAGAAGTTAAAAACAAGAGTCATGCAAACAGCAGGTGTCAGTCATTACAGTGGAATTTGCCTGCCTTTTTATTTTCATGAACACACCCATAGCATATTGGTTTGCCATATTACACTTAGATGCTTTACAAACTAGGGAGAAGTGTGTTTGCTTTCGTTAGGGGTGGCTCAATCTGCCGATACCATTCTTAAAGATTCTTGATGTTCTTCATGTATATGTTTTTGAATTCAATAAAGTTGAGCAACGGTTACGCAATTGAAAGCCTTAGCTATGCCAAAAAGTTTTTCTGAAGCACGTTTTAAAAAAAGATGCAAACAATCTGCAGTAGCCAGTGAGCTGGTACCTGATGTCTCCAAACTACTAAACATGGAGGTCTGTGAATACTTTATTTTGCAGCAGAATCCACAGCAATTGGTGTCCACGGTGGCAGTCCTCTCCCGGTAGAAGCACACACAGTGGACAATTTAAACCCATTAACAAAGCAGAATTAATTAAAGTTCGTACTTTGTTGCTGAAAAACAGTACACTGCCAGAAGACAATGGCAATCAATAATTGCTACTTGAGTCATGAATGTGAATACATTAATGAGCCTAATTCTTCTGTGTCCTTTGGCCTGGGACCATACAGTTTATGGAAGCTCTTTCTTTAAACTGAGTGCATGCGAATCATGCACTCAGTTTTTTGAACATCAAAGTGGACTTAAAAATATATGCCTTTGTTTCATATGTACACTCATAGCAGGCTACAGTCACACGTACAGCATTTGCAGTATTGGTGAAGAGGCTACAGTCACACGTACAGCATTTGCAGCATTGGTGCCTAAACAGATTTGGTGTCAGTGCTACGTTGCCTTTTGCCTTTCGTACTCGTCCTTCCTCAGCATCATCCTGCAGGTGCCAAGACCCCATACCAGAGCGATGGAAGGCTGCTAGGAGTGGAGGCTGGACCCTGACCCCTGCTACTGAAAATGACTTTGGGAGGGCATGAGCGCCTAGCTTGCCAAGCACGTAAATGCACTTGGAGGATACGACATCTCAGCGTATCACATCTTCCAAATCTGTGTGGTATCTGTTGCGTCCGTGTTTGGTACCATACCCTTGCACATTTCTGCAGCGCCGGAGAGATCTTTCACTATCTCAGTGTCTGTGCTGTTTCATTTGGGCTACAGCTAGGAGGAATTCTTCCATGCTTTCCATCACAGTTACAAGCTCAAAACTGAGCACTGAGCTGCATTGGCAAAGGATGATTGAGCCGAAAAGAAGGTGGCATCACCTTCTGCTGCGCAAGTCTTCTGAGAAGGGAGATTTAGGACATAGCTCTGTTCTTGGCATTTTCCAGTGGGTAACCTGACTACCTCAGTGCCTGACATCCCCCAATGATTTTATAGGTTTGTCAGCAAAAGATTTCACAAAAGATAATACAAGAACGGGTTTCTCAGCAAAGAACTGCAAATTGCTACATGTAATTACCTTAATAGAATAGAGAGGATTTGTTTGGGAAAAGTAAGAATCTGAAATAGAAAATCTCAATTTCCTTACACAGTGATAGATGTTAGCTGTAAGAGAACTATGGAAGGACATTAGGCAGTAAAATCCATTAATTTTCTGGGGTCATATGCAGTAGATCAAGCTACAAGAATGAAAATTTACGAGATCTCTCTTTACTTGCTGCATTCAAATTAGTTTTTATGTGTAAGAATTTTGAAAGTAGAAGCCTTTTTTAATCAAATCATTTAAGAATTTGTCTTCAATTCTGTGTATTGGATCTGATAAATTAACTGGGAATCTAGAATCATCTCTCATCTAGTGAAAAAAATTGCTTTTTTGGCTTTAATACAACTTCTGATTGGAAACAGTACACTGCTAGTAGGGGTTGAATACTGGGTTTGCATTGATGTAAAAGAAAAAATATGACATGAAAAGACTTGGCATGAAATTTGCTCAGGCTGGAGTAACAAATACAGGTTTTTTTGCTCTGTCAAATTAAGACAAATTAAGAGGAATTAGATATTTTTGAAAAAGATGGAAGTCAATTTTGGAGTCTAAATTAATAGCTCAGAGAAGCAGTGAAGATTTTGAAGTCATTCCCAGAAGGTGATTTCTTTAAGCTCTTAACTCATTGGTCTTAAAAGAAAACAGAGCAATTCAGTATTGCTAGTTAAAATCTGATTTTTTTTTTCCTCTGAATAGCTTGATATGACACAAGAAGTGTAATTATGACCTCAGCCTTTTACATAAACCTCTCTCTGTTTCATATTAACTTACTCTTTACCTTTCACTCCCTAAACTCTCCTTCTATTGGTTTCAGTCGCATTACTCCACATTCCTCCTAGTATTACTCATTTTTGCTTACTCCAGTGAAGTTACTGGTGGTGACTGGCTTAATCTGTCAAGAAAAGATTCAAACCTTGTCCCCTTGTGGAGAGAAACAATTTCTTTTTTCCAGGATGTTGTCATCTAAAATGCAAAAATCTGCTGCTGAGCTGGATATTAGGGTCTTCAAATCGTCTACTCATGATACAATATTTCTTGTCTTTTACTTTCTTAGGAAAGCTGCATTTCTTTTGAAAAAAATCAGTAAAGCACTGTTAAATACTCTAGTTCAGGCTCTACAGCATTTGGATGCTAATCGAAGCCTACCTCTTCCACTCGTTTTTTGAGTTTATGGAGTCAGGACTTCAAATTTCCCGTCACAACGTACTCTAATGGCTTTAATACTGCATAGCTCTTGTTATGTATTGGTTTTAATTATTATTTCATCAATAGAAGCATAAAGAATTTCATCAATAGAAGCATAAAGAATTTGGAATATAAGTGTAAATACTGAACGCTCACCATGTTTTAAAATCAAAAGTTTTTCCTTCAGACTGATGTTGACCAGCTTATTTTTTTATAAGAAAAGAACAAGAACTTGATGCATTTGCAGATTGAAGAGCATGTTTAAAGTCATCTTAGTTCAAACATGTTTTCCAGCACATTTAAAACTTAAGCCTGCTTTTCTCATCTCAACACATCAGTATTCAAGAAAAAGTTGAGCAGAATTTGATTTATCAGACCTTATCATGGTCAGACAATTATGTGATCGCAGAAGTCATATTTAGACTGCAGATCAGAGATAGATTTCGTCCACATACAGAAATTGCATGCCTCTAAGTAAGCTGGTTTCAGAAACAGAAAATATATGTGTCCGACTGCAACTGGCACTTGCAGTTAATATACCAGCCTTTAAACTGCAGCAGGTAACCTCTGGAAAAGGGGCAGGGCTGACAGTAGCAGTGCGGCAGCCGCCCTTGAATTACCAGAGCACATCTGTAGCAGGCCTCAGTGAGGTAAGAGGGGGTCATACAGGATCTTTGTATCAATTAATTTCATTGATTTAGCATCACTTCATTTTCATGGGCTACAATTTTCATGGGTTAGGTAGCTTCTCAGTTCTTTTTGCAAGGGTAAACGTATAATTGTAACAAAAAGGTTCGGCATTTGCTTAGGGCTCTGAGGCAGAAGCTGTGATAGATGTCAAGGCCATTTTAAGACACTGCCACCAGCAACAGGCTACTCACCAGTCATTTTTCCTCTGTGACAAGGTTAGCAGACCCATAACAAGGAGGCAGATGCACGCCAATAGGCTTGACGATGCTTAGGGGCAGCGGTTATATGCAACGGCTCCAACTGTGGAAGTGATACACTCTGTCAGAGGAGTGGGGAAGGCACTTGGACAGTGACGCCTTAAACCCCGGTGACTTTCTTCTTCAGTGCATGCCTATCAGTGCGTTTAAATGACTGAATTACCAAAAAGTCAAGGTAACTGACCTTGTGGAAAAATGACTTTTCAGGCTAGCTCTCCTTGCTTTGAAATCTCAGAAGGCTGGATGCAAGAAGCCTAGCAGGCTTAGGTACTCCCTGAGTCATGTTTTTCCACTGCATGGACCTTGTATGGTTACAGGCAGGGCTGGAGATACGTGCAAAATGCAGGCAGACAGAGCAGGTAATGCTCCCTCTGTACTAGTGCAGATGATTACCCAAAACGCGCGACAACGGTAAAATGATGCCTCTGCTGCCAAGTGGTTCTGAGAAGTAGGCAGTTTCTGCTGTCATCTCACGTTTGACTCAGCCCTATTAGGTAAGACCTAAAAAGGTGGACAAGAAAGTGGGCTCTTTCGTGTGCAGCAGTTAATAGCCAGCTTCTTCAGCCAGAAATGACACCATAGGAGCAGACAGTGAACCCTGTTTTCCCTACTCCTCATAGCAGCCTATCATCATAAGAAAGATAAACAACAGCCACCTTGCTTTTGGAACAGGTTGGAAATCCGCAGCAACGCTTGACTTTTTATACCCTGGGTGATCACTACACACTTACAAAGCAGTATGCTCTGCATGTGTGCCTATACATCTTGTCTCAGATCTGTCCTGGGGGAAGTTACCATGAGCATAATACTAACAGCATTTCCATCTGCTGGTAAGAAAACTGGGAAAATGGCATATAAGAGAGGATGGCATCAAGCATGGGACAGACTTTCAGATCTCAGAGTATAACCTCTTGCTTCAATAACGGGGTCTTGCACCCTGGGACGCGATGGCAGACAGTGAATGACCTGAACTGCTGGGAACATGCGTGAGTTTGTTCTTTGTCGTTCCCATGCAGTCCTCTAGTGCAGACACGTTTTGTGTGCAAATGCAGCTCTTGCAGATATATCACAATTGAACAAGTCCGTAGCTATAGGCATACGTATAAAGAGGTGAAGGATCAAGGCATTAACCTGAACTAAACCATACCAGAGCTGCTAGCACAGAACGCGAACACCGCCAAGCTACTGAGGGGATGGAAAAGAACAGGCTGTATCTTCAAAGGCACACATCAGAGAGACATATTTAGCTCTTATTCATCCAGGAGAGTATTTCTCACTAATGGGGCAGGCCTGAATTATTTTTAGGGGTTGCATCATAAGTCTGCAGCTTTAAAAGAAAGGGAAAGATGAGGCTATCTTGTCATATGGAGATTTATCCTGTTGTGTTAGTGGGGAGTGATGCGTGCGCAGGACTGGGAAGCTGAGGAATGTATATTGATATATGCAAGACATGATGTGCTGCAGTGCTCTGTCAAGTACAGCATCAGGATTTAGTATTACTAGCTGTGACAGTAGTAGTCTACAAACCCTAACCTCACACATGCTGTCCTTACTCTGGGCTGGGTATGTCTAGCAGATTGAACCCAAATGAGTATTTCATAGCGAGAACCCTTTTAAGACTGAACAGTTTTATATGGGAACTACCTAACAGAGGCATGCTTCATAGGCTCACAGTATTGAGAGCGTTATCTAGTTTGCTACCCATCTAAATAGGTAGCTGTTTGGCTTTAGCAGACCTGTTCCAGCCTCAGTGAGACACTTCGGTCCTTCAGTGACCTTGTTCTGCAGCAGAAAGAAAAGGTGACTTTCCAAGCCTGACTGCAGCATTGCAATCAGCCCCGTCCGAGAGAGATGGTTAGCGTTCCAGCCTGGCTCCCGAAGGCAGAACGAAGCAGCGGTGTCAAACGTTTTTCTGAGCGCAGGAGAGGCTCCCTGTTAAGGCAGCAAGCACGCTGCTGCCGCAGAACCACATCCTGCTCCTGGTGGCCGGAGCTGGGGGAGGTGGCCATTTTCCGAACCATTATCTGATGTGCTTGTCAGAGCAGCTGCAGAATCTAGAAAACATCTAGCTGCAATCAACGAACAATGTTACCAGGTGTTTCCCCTACAGACAGATCTAGTCAGTACAGAAGTGCTTCATCTCATGTAAATACTAAGCAAATCTTTCACCGCTTAGTCCATTTGCATATTTGTATTTACTGAACTGTGGATCTGTCCAAAATGAGTAAAAGGTAAGTTTAGCAATAGCAGAACTAGCTGCACGCCAGACCTTTGGTACACACAAAAGTTGCAGCCAACAAGAAATCTTTCCGACTCTACAGCCATCTTTAAAACCAGTTTAAGTGTGTTGCCTGAGAGGACTACACACATTTAAGTAGATCACAACTGCTGCTTTTTTAGAACAAGAACTTTCACCGCTTTTGGTGTAAAGATGAGTCTTTTGTTGTAGGCTTTTTGTATTGAACCAAATTGTTTAAATTACAGCTAGTGTCCAAATATTAGAAAAGTAGCTGGCAAACGTAGAAGGGCATAGAGCAGAAAGGAGGTAGTGCTGGGGATGAGCTAACCATGTCGGCTGGCTTGCTTTTTTCACTGTAGGAATTGCTGTAATGGGGTGTGAGCTGCTCAAACACTGCTTCATGCTTTTGCTAGCTTTTTCTGCTATAAAGCACTTTCAGGTGTCTTATTAACCCCAAGAGAGTTTTTGTTCTTTTTTATTTTTCATACAGAATGATTCAAAGAAAGAATCAAGTCCTTCCCCCTTCATCTCTGCTCCTCCGTCAGGGAGGTTATTTCTCTTCCAGCATCTAAGTTGAAATCTAAGCTCTACTGAGTCAATGGCAAATTTCCCACTGACTGCAGTAAAGCAAGAAATTCTGTCCTTATGGCTGGAGTAGGGCATTTTAGACAGAAAAATAGCACAGCTTCTTAGACTCTATATCACCTTACCAAGAGTAACCCGTTGAATGAAGTGGCAGCGTAATAATTAGAAAGACACCTTTAACCATCCTGACAGAATGGGAAGACACTAAATATATTGCTGTTAGTTGTAGTTCATGATCTTAAGTACATGAAAGAAGTATTAATAATATACTTTGCTAATAATATGGTGATTATTAGACCAGTTTAGAGTATACTCTATGAGGTTAACTGTAAGTGCAAACTTAATTCCCATGGCTATTTTTCAGTGGTGAATTTTATGTGGCTATGTTTATTTATAAGAGGATCATATTTCTGGGCTTTTATAAGTGGTTGTGTGCCATCTAGTGGGTTAATCTAGTTTTGCAGAAGAGCCATAGGATGATGATTTCTCTGTCATCTCAGGCCAGTCACCACAGGACACAGAGGATGGATGGTTCTTTACAGTTGCACTGTTACCAAGACCCTCACTAGCAAACAAGAGGAAGTTTAATGGTTAATATATAGGCAAGATTTTCCTAGCTGATATAACCAACAGCAATATTAAGTACACAAAAGATATCACCACTGATAGACCACAAATCACTTACAGACAGAGGAAAAGGATAATTTGCAGTAATTAGCTCTAGCTGTCAGTGAGCTCTCTCTCCCCCCCCAAGAGCACTGAGGGGAAAAAAAAACAAAAAAAAAAACAGGAGTATCAATGTAGATGACAAGGTCAAAACTTTTTCTGATGCTTTTCAATAGCATTAAGAAAAGCCATGGACACCTGATAGAAACCAGCAGTGGGCAGCTGCTCTGTGTTACTGTAGGCAAGACCAAACACTTCTTGAATCAGTATCTCAGAACAGTTTCAGCACAAGTTAATTAGAAATAAGGGAAGACCTAAACATTAATGCTAGCAGGTCATTTACTCGTGTAGATGGACACGTTCTTCTCACTGATTGATGCAACTAGGGATTAATACCATTACAATCAAAGTTTCCCAAACTGTATAGTAGCATACATTAGAATAGGATTTCTGTTTAATATACTTCTCCTTTTAGTCAACATAACATAATAATTTTGTCTTTTATTTTTGGAACAGATCTCAGTCTGAATTAGGAGTTTCTTAAAGATGCTCTCAACCTTATCTAGGTCCTGGAAAGACCCACAATACCATTTACTAATACTTCCCTAAATTAATGACAAGCAGATCTGACAAGTATATGTATGTATGTGTAATAACACTCCACCCCTTCCCCCCCCTCCTCCAGTGGGCACCTTTAAAGCAGGAAGTCTGCATATGTTACGAGGATGGCTGCACAAGGCAGCCAGGAGAGGAGCCAGGGCTGGTCTGGGATGCTGGCACGCTCTACAGCCGAGGTGGACTCCAGGCCCAGCGCGAGTCCCTGCAGCACCACATGCCAAGTGTGGGAAGAGAGAGGTTAGACACCCTGGGACAAGAGCCAAAGGCAGCTGGCACGCTCAGCGAGGAACCGCCAGAGTCAGCACAGTCCTCCCCAGACCTTGTCAGTAAGAAGCCGTGAGGATATAGGCAAGTCCCACGTCCTTTTCCTCTTTGGAGGTTATTCATGGCTGCTGACAAGCATCTTCACAGCCCTGACCCCTCTACAGAGCTGTATGTCCTTTTACCAAGTTCAGTGCAGAAGCCAGTCACCCAGAAGATGTTTGGACGCTCCTCTTAGATTGGCTGTTAGAGGTGGTGTTCAATGGTGGTGCTCCATTTTCACCTTCATTCCTCTCAGATAAAGCCCACAGGACCAACTAGAACTATTTCCCTCCTCAGCAGGTATATTGTGACCCTCTGTCCTCAGCACCTGATCCCCAGGTCTGCCCCAGATACGCCTCATTGCTTGCTAATGCAGACATGGTCAGAGCTACACAGGATCCCTGGGCCAAAAAGGTCCAGAAGGGTGGAGGACTGGATGGGATGGGGTGAGATGAGAGGGGGCCTAGCAGTCCTGCACCCTGCTGCTCCTAAGCATGGTTTTGCAGGCCACGACTGCCTCAGAAGCAGCTGTAGGAACAGGGAGTAGTTCCCACAGCCTAGCCTTTCCACCACAGAGCCTCGCTCTCCCTGTCCTGCTAGCACCTGCCTTCCCCTAGGGACTGGGGGAGGCTTCAGCAGAAGCAAGCTCTTCGTTCCTGCCCACCTTGCGCTTTAGGCAGCGTTGGACAACGTGCGAAATCTGTGCTTGAATCCCTCAGGGCATTCAATTTTATACCTACACCAGGCTAGGTATGAGCAAAGAGGTTCGGACTGAACCTTATTTGTTTATTATAGTTAGGGTAATTCTACTTTTGGGCAGCTGGCACACTGACAGCATCCCTCTCTGTTCAGGGAAGTAAATAACACAGTCTTGAAGTATCAGGATATTTTCTTGTGCAGCTCTTGTGTCCAGAGTTAGTTTGACTCCTTCTGGGCTAGAAAGTTTTTCAAATGAGTATTCTGTTTCATTGCTAACAGAATACTCTTTAAAATGTCATCAGGTGAAAAAAACCACTTTATTGTAAATTACAGAGTTATTACTAAAGAAAGGGTTTAGTATAATGCCTTTTACCCAGCAGGAGGCAGCACTTTACTACAAAAACAACCAAAATCTAGTAACATTTTTGTGTTTGACCATAAGTAAACCTAAACTTTGAAGTGAACTGAAAACCAAAATAACACCTGTCCTCTTCTGCAGTCTGATCTGCCAGCTGCCTCCAGTAGTAGTGACAATAAAAATCTGTACAGTAATTACAAATGAATCTTGCAGCGTTAATCCTCCACCTGCCTGATGGAGGGTGGCAGGAGGTGCTGAGCCAAGTGACGCTGAAAGCGTATGAAGCTAACCAGAGGCCTTTAGAAGGGAAAGGCTACATTTATCTTGCATTAGTTGCAAGTATGACTGTGCTAATAAGGGATTGTATCTGATGAAAAAATTGTTAATTTGAATTTAATGACCCTTTTGTCCTTGGGGATTCGCTGCAGGGAGAAGGGGCTCGATCACCTCTGAAGAAACATTGCTCTGTGGAGACATCTCAAAGCGAGGGCTTTGTAATGCAAACAGTTTCTCAGGACAACATTACATTGAAAGAAACATGACAAAAAAATTGCTGTACACAATCTGTCATAGAAACTATGCAAAGTCTGCGTACTTTTAGGTTCAAATATTCAAATATTACCAGCAGAGCTGGAAGAAAGACTTTCTGTGACTTTGGCTTTGTTCTGAAACAGAAGGTGACTTTTGCTGACTCTACATGGTCTTGAAAAATGTCGGACTTTTGCTTTGGTGTTACGATGAAACTAATAAAAATGATTGGCATAGATCAATTTTCTCCCCTCAGACTGTTTGCCTACATCATTACTAAAAAAGCTTACAGTTTACCATAATTGTTTTTACTGCACTGGATCTGAATAGAAAACTGAAATGATTAAATCAGCTGAAACTCATCAGAGCCTCAACCATCTGTTTGGACAGTTCTGATTTTCACATGGCTGCACCACACCAAAATAACTAATATATAGATTCTGATCTGAAATTGTCTCGTGGGTGCTGTTTCCCCAGAGAGTTGCTCCCTTCGCCTGGTGACTATGGAATAGAGCAAGGCCTCCTCCAAGGGTCTTTGCTCCTTCAAAATAGCTCGCTGTGCATTCAGAGCTCAGCAAAAGCATAGCTTAAAAAAATGGCCATCACATGTTCTTCACCAGGTGCTTCCTTTGGGCGGTCAGAGCAACACCAGCTGTCACTTAGAGCACCCACAGAGACAGCATTGAGAGGAGAAGGACTCAGTTTTGGTATCACCTCTGTAACTTCAGTGTAGCTGTACCGGATCAGACCTAAGCTCCATGCAGCTCAGCATCCTGCCCCGATACAGATTTTTAAAGTCTACAAGACCAAAGCAGGCCATACAATGACTTTCTTCGGGTATTCTCCCAGCCTCCTCCAGCAAATTCAGAAGTTTCTTAGACTGAAGTTGATACCTTTGTACTTTTGGCTAGACTTTTCCCCCAAATATTTCCAGTTGGTGTACCCACGTAAAATTTCAGCACCCAGAACTTCCTGTGGCAAGGAAATCTTCAGCTTTCTGACACACTTTCTGCATTTAGAACCAGCCACCATTTGCGTGTCCTCATGCTTGCACCAGAAAACACAAAAAAGGAAATCCTGTTCTCACTCACCATTTCTTCACTGCCTCCACCCCAAATTTATACCTCTCTGTCACCTCCAACTTATTAACTAAACCCCAGCAGCTGGTTCTTTATTAACTCAGTAAGCCCAGACACCCACCTCTATATGTGTATATCAAGTTAAGTTGCTCCTAGGAAGCTGGGAGAAAATATTTTGCACAGTCATCAATCGGAACTTCCAAGACAGTTTTGGCAAAGCCCAGCTGACTCCTTTGCACTGCTGTTTTCACCAAGCCACATTTCAGGATGCAGCCATGATTAACAGAGTGTGCTGCATAAGCTCACTTATTAGGCCAAGTAAATGAAAGATGTCTCCAACCGGCCAGTCTCTGGGTCTATCCGATTATAGTGTGTTTAAACAGTCTGTTAACAGTTAACAAGCTGCTGAAATCTTTTAGTGGACATGAGGCATTTCTGGCATTTTTGGACCTCACGTCAAGCTATATTTGTTAATCCAAAATGAAATGATCAAAACAACATGCACATATCTAGACCTTTCCTAAAATTAACAAGCTCAATGGGAGATCCAGTGTATCCACAGTGTTTGTTGACATTCACTGCAGGAGGCATCTTGTTATACCAGGAGCCTCGGGTGCATAGTAAATAACTTAATGTTGCCTATGTCTCCTCAGTGATTTACAACATATACAAAGACACATTCCACCAGACACATCCAGCTGAGACTTTGCTTATCATTTTGTTATTCATAACTATGTGAAGGTTCATGCAGCTTCTTTCCTTCTTTCCTATGTTGTCCTATCTACCACCCACCAATGCATACCTGTCACAATGCTGTCCTTGAGAATACCTGAGCTAACTCAGATCCTAGAAGCAGAGAACCTCTTCCATAGGATTCTTTATCCCGTTAAATTAATCCTAATTCAGAAAAAGAGATGCCTTTAAAATGACTAGTTCTTATGAACCTGTGTAGTCTGTAAGATCACTGACCTATGTGGAACAGCAGAAGCTATAATGCATGTTACTTGCCAAGATGCAGCATCTCTGATGGTGTGGACTTTCCTCACCATACTTCCTCCAGCATCTACACAAGAAGTGCTCCATCATGGAGTTTGAGAGGTTATTCATGTGGATAAAAGATGCAGGACTGAACTGATACTGTAAAGCTCGCAGAAAGGAGCTGGAAAATTAAAACTACTGTTACAGTGGGAACTCCTCCCAGACTGATAGATTACACGGAGTACCGTCAATGTATGAGGCCTTTTGACAAAGATGCCACATTACGAGGAAGTGTGAACTTTGCTTATTGCAGGTGCCCTTGCAGTCATTTTACCTGCTCAGTGATATCTTCTGAATGTTTACTTGGCAGCAGGTTCTTTAAGATCTGTCCTAAAGATCCTCCCTACCAAATAAATAGATAATGTCTGTTTATAAATAGACATCTCAGCTGATGGATTTGCCCTGGCAGGCCTGATCTTTCCTGAAACAAATAGGTGACCTGTACTTTGCACTTTAATCCCAAGTGTTCAAGTGTTCACTTCCCTGTTGCATCCATTAATCACAATTCAATCTTTTAGGTGGAAAGAAGAGAGATAAACTTTTTAAAAGAGAAATGAAAAGAGGAGTGGACTAGAAAAAGTGACTGATAGAGACACAGAAGTGGAAAGAAAGGTATTGCTATGTAGATATTAGAGCCATAGATTTAAAGAAAGGAAGATTGAAAGGAAGACTCAAAATATAGTATATCAGACCTTTGCAGACAGACCCAAGCCAGCAAAACAGCCCACAAGACGCAAAGATACATTCAACATTTCAAACATTGCCCCTCGTTTGCCCTCATGTAGTGAGAAACATTCCAGAAAGATGCAGGGAAAAAGTAGAAGCAGACACAAGTAGCTTTCTTTAGCAGAGGTGAAAGGATGCTAATTAGGTCATCCAACTATTTTCTACCACTTGCCCTGCAACACACTGGGTACCTCCCATGCTAGAGGTAGAACTTTGTTG